GATGTCAATATGAGTGGAGACGGATGCTGGTCTAGTGACCGACAAATCAAAATAACTCGTTTGCAAGCACCGTACACGACCTGTCCCCTAAGTTAACACAAAGTCGGCTTTTATGAGCAGCTTTCCACTCCACAGAGGTGGGTGTCCGATGAGCCACGGTAAGGAGAAGCTATTATGGTCTGTGTAAGGCATTGGAGTAGTTGCCACCCATATTACAGGTAGTCTTGGGCTAAATGTCAGGGCTTAGGGACATGGGAATAGGAACGTCCTTGGGATTTAACGTAACGCCATCTGTCATACGGCAGTGGGGGGACACTTATTCGGGCGTACGAACGCGGCCTGACCCTCAGGACTGAAAAGGACAACGTATATTTTTTCATAAATGTTTGGCAGACTTTGAATAATTAATATTGACCCAACTGTGAAAACCTCGACGACCTCGGTGGGATTCGAACCCACGCAGTAAGGGGAAGGCTTTAGTACAACCAACGCTCTAAGCGCTTGAGCTACGAGCCTCCCGCCGGACGACGGGAATTTAATCACATTTGATTCAAGTTACCCGCCCAACCTACTGCAACGTTTGGAATCCACCAAATGTGTTACAGTAAGTTGACTTCCCAAGCAGGATTTCCTAAGTAATTCACCCAGAATCCACCAGATGACTACCAGGCTCACGTAATTCATAGATGTTTAGGCAGATTTTGAATAATTCATACCGACCCAACTGTGAAAAACTCGGCGCCGTCTAACTGCCAACGCTCCAAGCCATGACGCCTGGCGCGTTGTGGGTGTGCCCCTGAGCGCCTGGCCGTTTTAAATGAGGCAGCTAAGCGCTAGGTCTGAGCTGAATCGACCTCACCCGCCCCAAGTATTTCGATAGAAATTGAGATAATGGCTTTAAACATCAAAAACTCATTCGTCTAATCCATTTCAAAAACAAGTTCTTTTCTCCTGGAGATTATGCGTTTAGGTAATTTTATCAAGGAAAACGTCTGGAAATTTGAGGGAAGATCAACGTTACTGTGTATTATGGAAATGGCCTATGCTAGTAACTGTCTTAGACCAAGTATGCGCATAAATGCGTGCTTATCTACGTGGGTTCGTTAAGCGAAACTAAGAATGTTTACCAAGCCAAACGTCGTCCACCTGAAATTCGATTTTTTGGCTTGCGCAAGTCCTTCCCTACCAGTCCTGTCTCTTCAACTCGTGGTTTGGAAAACTCGTTAATCTTGGCTGTCGCAGCTCGACAAAATAGTGTCTGCTTGAGACGTTTAGACTTCCTCGTTTGCAGACAGCGGTAGCGGCAAATCTTCCACCAGAAGTACAGCGCACTTTGAAACATCTGTGACTCTTGATATAGGCGGTATGTTATTACCGACAACGACAAGGGAGGCTGAGGGCTTGTTAGAGGCGTGGACTTCTAACTAACCGGTCGCGAGTTCGAGCCTCGAGTGTTGCGCACTTCGGGTTTGGGTATGACTGGCTGACGACGGCTAATAAGTCAGAAATGGGCATTGCAGTCTCCCTTGTCTTTGTGGGAAATGACATACTGCCTATATCATGCGTCTTCGTGCGGCTGCTGGTTGGTTAATTCAATTCACTCTGCGTAATCCAGTCCTGGTATTGCAGTTTACGACAGTTTACGGGGTTTCTTTATAGGCACTGCCGCACGATTAAATGCCAGTCTCCCAACAGCACTCAACCACCGATGCCCTAACTACGGCCTCTTTACTGAGACTGCTACTATCATCGCGACTGCTATCTTCGATTCCTCCCTCTCCTTTCTGAGCGTTGGCTTTGCTATTTTCTTCTTCTGGATCTTCGTAATGACTGGAATTGCCCTCTGCCGTTCAAGGTGCACACTTCTTTGCCGCTTCCGATCTTCTGCTATACAGCCGGGCAAGCCCGCCTTTACGATCAGACTCCTACTCCTGCATTTCGGATCCCCTGAGGCGTTCAGTCAGGTTGTTGATGTGAACCCTGACCAAGCTGCTTGCCAAATACCCCATAGCACCATCCTAACTTCAGCGGCCATACCCCACTGCACGATCTGCCCAATCATATTCGTGCCAATTATCCTCCAACTTTTTGTTGATTGAGTTTTCTCGCGCCTGCTAGCCTGGCATCCACCAACACTGATTTCGAACATATCCCACAGACTTGCATCGCCTGCCACTCAGAAAGTCCTTGTGTCTCACCTCTGCGAGTGACCCTTAGGGCTAATGCTAGTGACTGAAGCGCCTACGGGGATTATCGGGCCTTGTAAAACTCCAGTACGCCTGAGTGCACCCGGTTCCCTGACTGTGGGACTTTGTTGGAGTCTTATTCAACAGGTCCGTCTTCTCTGTAACATGTACGGTTTTCAATAGGGTCATCAAAGGCATTGCCTATTACACTAAAATACACCATCATTATTATTACTAAAGGTGTTTTGGGCCTTCGCGCCGCGGAAGTTTCGATGACGGACGTCGCCAGCCCCTATGACCTCTTCGAGCTCCTTCAAAGGCCGTCTGAAATCTGAAGTGTCTTTAAATCATACAGGAGGTTTGTAGACAGAGTATTCCGCGGTCAACCCTCCGCCTGCGCCTATTTAGACGACCTCGTGGGGGCCAGCAGTACCCGGCAGAGCATAACCACCATCTTACAACGGTGCCTGAGCACCCTCATCAGTCTGTGTTCTTTTCACCCGTTCCAGATGAACCTTAGGTACTCCTTTTATAAATTTCCTCAGGCGCAGAATCTACTCAACCGGTATCCGTCGTCTCCCTTCTAAGGTCACCGCCGTCCATTAATTTCCGCCCTCACTTCCAAAAGTTGGTTTCAACTGTTTCTGGACGTAGTGACCTTCTAGCGCCAGTCTCTCCCAAGTTATACTGATGACACGGACCTCCTCTCCAGTCCCAAAGTTTCATTCGGGTGTTTCACAGACATTCACTTAAACACTGTGGGCACCTGGCATACAAAAAGATGCTAGAATTCGCAGACAGGTTAGCGCCTCTCTGATCGCAATCTAGTCCTGTAAACACCAAATATCAGCCAAACAGCGAGAAGGATGTAGACAACGACTGTCAGCATTCGGTTTCAGATGTTGATAATGGTGATAAGAAGGTGGGGAAGGGGGGAGCTTGAAGCAGCATTTGTCGCCGTGTCTGCAGTGCATACTGCCCGCACTGTCCAGACTTCAGACCACATGCGCGTGACAAACCAACGGTTAAGGTCACGGACGCGCGTTTAGACTTTCTTTCTACTGGCTGGGCACCCTTTAGCCTATGTCGTTTCCCCATGCCATATACGCCACCGGGTCTCCCCACTTGCGCTGCCTCCCGTGCTAAGTACACGTCCCGCCTATCACCAGTATTTCGTTTTGCATACGTAATTGTGTACATGGTTGTCGATACAAGCGGAGATACGAGTTCCAGGAACTAGCTGATAAGAAGTAGGAGCGATGGCCGGAACGAGAGTTTTATTTGCCTGACGTTTCGGATTTTCACCTGAGTCCATCATCAGAGACAGGGATAGATACGGGCCTGTATCTGTCACTGTCCCTGATGATGGGCTCGATCGAGAACCCGAAACGTCAACTGTACCTGGTCTTCGTCAGTCTATCTCGTCTTAATGTGTACACCAGCTGACATGTTTCCACAGTAATTCAACAAACGCCAATTCTAGAACATCTTGCCACCGCTATCTGATGGGCAATCTCATTGGGTTTTCTTGATAGAGTTGGACGAGTAAACTCCATCTGTTAACAGGCACGCGGGATCTAACAACGGAAAGTATGACCGGACGCTGCTTAGGATGGTATTTGGGGCAGGTTTTGTGCATTGATAGTGGTCGTGATATCGGTGCATTATTACTACACAAGCAACAGTGGTTGTAATAGTAGTGGTTGTAGCAGTAGTAATAGCCGTAGTAGTGGTGGTGGTGGTGGTGGTGGTGGTAGTAGTAGTCGTAGTAGTAGTAGTAGTAGTAGTAGTAGTAGTAGTAGTAGTAGTAGTAGTAGTAGTAGTAGTAGCAGTAGTAGTAGTAGTAGTAGTAGTAGTAGTGACGGTAGCAGTAGTAATAGCAGCTGCAGTAGTGTAAATGTGATGTACGGGGTGCCGCGGGTTAGGACTGGATCAGTTTCATCGGTGAGTTTGGATGAGCGTTAATCTGCCTGACCTGCATTGCCGCCAATTACCATGTATAAAGATTTAGAATGGGAGACGCCACCTAGGTCTCAGAGTTCAGGCACGACTCTGATAGTAAGAAGCACAATAGGCAGTAAGCTGACAGACCCCGTCAACCGCATCGATGGGCTTTAGCGGATACTTCTACCTCGCCCCGTCCCGGCACCCAGCTCAGCTCGACGACCATAGCTCGGTAACCATCCTTGACCGGCGGGCTAAACCAGATGAGATTGTTTGACGCATCTGCTTCTTCACACTGGGTAGTATCCGAAACAATTCTCAAACTCCCTCGCCATCACAAAATCAAAAACGTTATACGCAGAGGGCAACAGGCGAGCACATAATGCACTCCAGGATAACTCAGGTCATCTTCCATTAGGCGAAATTCGCGACCCGCAGTTGAATTCGACAGCCGCCCTGTTTAATGATAGCGCTGCTTGCCTCCTCGCAGATGAGGATATAAAAAGGTAGTAAATGAAATCGGTTGGTGAATGAAATTGAACTTCAAGACGTAAAATGACCTGACAGTAGAGCACGAGAGCGGAGTTGTCCAGATGTGCTGTTTCCGTCACGTTAAAGCAAACAATACGGTAAAGGAAAGCGGGACTAGATTGTCAAAGGTGAGCTCGTCTGGTACCCCTCCACAAAGGCGTCCTGAACTTGCTGGCAGTAAGCTGACGTAGCCTGCAAAAGCAAAAAAATGCGGTCGAAAGCTACAACAAAATACAACACCGTTCCCGTCCTCGCTGCCGAAATGACACTACACATTCTGGCGGTCTGGAATGTTCGTTCCCTTTAAAAAACTCCGTAGTAAACCGTCTGGAAGGGAGGATGACTCTGGTCGTTTACGAACTGGTACTCTACAAAGAGGATATTTTGGCCCTCGATGAACTGGAGGCGGTGGGTGCCGAATACACCTTTTTACAGCGGTCTTGGTGCCAGAGGCGGAAGCTTTGTACGCGCTTGGGGTGCTACAGTAGTAGTAGTAGTAGTAGTAGTAGTAGTTTGGAGACCTAATAACTAGCGTCTAAAGTTCACTGCCAGGCATGTGTTCAGTCTAACAAACGCGGAAAGAACAAATCCTGTTCGACTTATCTCACACGGAATGCGTTGCAATACACAACCCTGGCTTAACTGAACACATGCATGTCAGTCGGGTTCAGTTCCGCGCCAGTGTGTCTAGACGGGTACCGTAAATTAATGATGTGAAGTAAGAATAGCTTTTGACCGCCCCGGGATGCGTGCGACTGGTGTGAACAAAGTTTATGTCTTCGCTGCGCCACGCGCACGTAGCGGAGCCAGGCGTGTCTGCACGACAGACAGGTAATGTTATGGGGATGCATGTCAGCATACTGTACAGTGAGGGTGGCGTCTGTGAGGGTGTCTACAGCCGTCTTATTGTCAGAAATAGTATTAGTAGCAGTGGTGGTGATATTAATAGTAGTATTAATGGTAGGAGTAGTAGTAATAACGACGTTGTTGCTGTTCATTGTTGCTAGTATTATTGTCACCGTGGTGGTGGTGGTGGTGGTGGTGGTGGTGGTGGTGGTGGTGATGGTGGTGGTGGTGGTGGTGGTGGTGGTGCTGTTGCTGGTGATGATGATGGTGGTGCTGGTGGTGATGATGATGATGATGCTGCTGCTGCTGCTGATGATGATGATGATGATGATGATGATGATGAAGAAGAAGAAGGTGGTGGTGATGATGATGGTGACGGTGTTGAAGAAGGAGACACGATCGCTGGGACAAGAACTTTATTAATCTGACGCTTCGGATTCCTGCTTGAACCCATCAACAGAGACAAAAGCAAATACGGTTGGCTGCAGTATTCATACAATGCAGTCGCCATGCTTCCGCATACTTTCGAACATTCACAGCTTCCCCCTTTTCCAGGGATCGTTGCACGTGGTGTGATGGCCGACATTCGCGTCGTTAATTGCTGCAATTTCATCACGTGCGTTGGACGCTGGTGTGATGATTGCTCAACCATCTGACGCGCTGATCCTGGTGTTGGGAAAAGTGTTCACTTCTGCATTCCCGGCGCGGCCGATTACTCCACGTAGGCGAAGTCCCAGAACCGAGTATGGAATGGGAAGATCATTGCACCTGTAAATGGGCTGGGGATCAGTAAACCATGGCTCACGCAGCTCCCTGCTCATGCGGTTGCCCCCTCTTGCGAGAATTTCGGCCTCGTCAAACTTGAATGTGTGGCCGGATCTTGTCGAATGAGCCGCAACTTGAGCGTTAGCGTCATTTCTTCGCACCGCTGCAGCGTGTTCGGCCATTCGCGTTTGCAGTTGTCTTCCGATTTCTCCGACGTAGTTGCTTTGTCCGTAATCACATCAGATCCGACAAACGACTCCAGACGTTTCTTGCCGTGGCAGTCAGTCCTTCGGTTTCCTGAACTGACGCCTATGCGCAGTAATTGGCCACGCGGAGAGCGCACAGGTGAACACTTCTCTCAACACCAGGGTCAGCGCGTCAGATGGTTGAGCAATCATCACACCAGAGTCCAACGCACGTGATGAAATTGCAGCAATTAACGACGCGAATGTCGGACATCACACCACGTGCAACGATCTCTGATGAAGGGGGAAGCCGTGAACATTTATAGGTATGCGGTAGCATGGCTACTGCATCCTAGAAATACTACAGTCGCATGTGCATGAACCACCCGTATCAGCATTTGTCTCTGATGGTGGGTTCGGGCAGGAATCCGAAACGTCAGGCTAATAAAGCTCTTGTTCCAGCAATCGTGTCTCCTTCCTCAAGACTGCTTCCTGGGACTCGTCTCTTCGCTTCTATTCGAGATGATGATGGTGGTGGTTAAATGATAATAATAGGAGTATGAAGAATGCTGATGATGATGACGCTACTAGTAAGGAGAAAGTGTAAGCTCTCTAACTAAAGCGTAGTTTGAGGAATAAAACTGCTACCGAAATTCCCGCAGACGTTTTTTAGTTCACTAATTGTTAAAGCTGTCGTCTATCGACACACACACACACACACACACACACACACACGACAGTTCGACCGTCGATTTCGACGATGTCCACCGTGTGCCACACAGCTGCAGCAGCGGTGGGAGTAGGGACGGTGACTTGCGCAGGGGTTTATAGTGCCAGTAGACTTGCGCTGCATCTACCTACACTCTCTCCTCCTCCCCCGCCTGGGCCCGGTGTCAAGACAGAGTCAAGAAGACCGGAGACGGGGGAGGCCGCAGGTGGATGGCTCGGACGGATCCTCACCTTGGCGTTCCACCACACCCCCTAGTCCACACAACAATGACCAGGATTTCAACCAACACAACAAGGATTTGGAGGCTGGCACGGCCGAAGCCGCACCTGGGCGTGCCGCCAACGCCTGGCTCGGATCCCACACTGTGGTGAGAGTGCCATAAAGGCCACATTAAAAAGGAGCCATTGCAGCCTGACTCTCAGACCGCCTCCAGTGAAGGAGGAGGTCCAAGGTACCCCGTCAGTTGGCAACCTTCCAAGCCACGGCGTTTAGCGCACCGTGATAGCTTCAAGCGCGTCAGATTGATTATAGTGAGGAGAAAGTGCGCTGAGTCGTCGACCTCACTCTCCCTTCCCACTCCCACAACCCAGCCACTGTCCGAGCCGGTCAGTAGACTGGAGTAGGGAATGGGCGCGGTGGCTGACACGGTCGAATGACCATGCCTGCGCGCGCCACAGCACGACCTGGCCCCCCATACACACACAAACACCAGGATTTCACACAACGGGGGTTGAACGGCGTGTCTCTCAGTTGCGTGAGAGTGCCGTGGAAGGTGCTGTTGCAGCTCGTCCCCACCCCACCAGTCCGCCACTACACACAACACACACACAACGTGACGAACTGCGTGAACCGAGAGCGGGCCTCAATCAGCAACCTTCCTATCCACGACGCTTGACGTGTCGGGATAGTCTCGGACACAAGTCACCCGTGCAGCCGAAACTGCATGGGGACCGAGTCGAGATGCACACTTCCCACTTGCGTGGGAGGCGGCAGTTGAGTGCATGAGGTGTGTGAGGGTTGATGTCTGGTGGGGTGATGGTGTTAGGAGGTAGGGGGTGAGGGAATGTGTGGTGTGACCGGCGGTTGTCTACCGCAGGTCGTCGTGGATGCGCATGTGGCCGAATAGACCCATGCAATGCGTGAAGGTGCGAGGGCAGTGTGGGCAGTGAAGGCGAGTGCGGTGGGTGTAGGTTGGTGCTCCAGGCACTGGTTCGCCAGTCTCTGTGAGATGGATTCGCAAGTGACCGACCAGGCCGATGCGTGAAGTGAAGGTGCGATCGCAGTGAGGGCAGATGTAGTCCTGGCCCTCACGTCTGATGATGGAGGTTGCAGGGGTTGTGCCTGTTGTTGTGTCAGGTTCGGCTGTGGTGAGGTCGTGGGCGACAGACTCCGAAGCGGCCGTCGTTGTGGCAGTGATGGAGGAAGAGGAGGAGGAAGGGGAGGAGTGAGGGGTTGTAAGGACGTTGTCGTCGATGTCTGCAGGGGAGTGGTTAGTGGGTGCACAAGGCGGTGGATTGGGAGTGGGGCTTGGCGGGGTGGGTGTGTCAAGGCTGCGGTCAATTCCGCTCTCGTGGATGCGCATGTGGCCGAATAGACCCATGCGATGCCGGAAGGTGCGAGGGCAGTGTGGGCAGTGGAGGCGAGTGCGGTGGGTGTAGGTTGGTGCTCCAGGCACTGGTTCGCCAGTCTCTGTGCGATGGATTCGCAAGTGACCGACCAGGCCGATGTGTGAGGTGAAGGTGCGGTCATAGTGAGGGCAGGTGTAATCCTGATCCTCATCAGTAGTATCGGGAGAGGTGGGAGAGGTGATGTTGGTTGTTGTGTTAGTGTTGGTGATGTGTGAGACAGCAGTCTGAACGGCCGCCGCTGGGGCAGTGGAGAGGGAGGAGGACGAGGAGGATGGAAGTGGTGGTGCAGGAGGAGTGTCAGAGTTAGTCGGCGGCAGAGAGGACGAGGAAGAGGCGGGCGGGGTGACGATGGCTGGAGCAGTTCGAGAGGTGCAGTTGATCCGAAGATATCCAACAAGTCCGATTCGTGCCCGGAATGTCCGGTGGCATCGAGGACACGTAGTGAGAGGTTGTGCGGCGGCGTTGCGGACTGGGCGAAGTTGTGATTTGCGGGCTTCGCGTTTCGCTTTGGCGGCGGCGATTCGGTTGGCTCCGTAGATAGCAGCGCCCGTCTTCACTGTTCTCCTCCATATCGGGCGATCGCGAGCGAGCTCTTCCCAGTTGGTCGGGTTGATTTGCAGGCGCTTCAGGGAGGACTTCAGGGTATCCTTGTATCGGCGAATCTGGCCTCCTTGACGGCGAGAACCCGTCTCGACGTCTCCGTAGAAGAGTCGTTTGGGTAGTCGCTCGTCATCCATGCGCACCAGGTGGCCGCTCCAGCGCAGCTGCATTTGTTTCAGTATGGCGTAGATGCTGAGAATTCCCGTTCGCTCCAGTACTTCCGTGTCGGGGATTCGATCCTGCCAGTTCAGCCTCAGGATGCGACGAAGACAACTGAGATGGAAGTGATTCAGTCGGCGTGCCTGTCTCGTGTACACCGTCCAAGTCTCCGCCCCATACAGTAGCGTCGGCAGGATGACGGCCTTGTACATCTTCAGCTTTGTGCTCAGTTGGAGACCATGACGATTCCAAACTGTGCTTTGGAGGCGACCGAAGGCTTGACTGGCTTTCGAGATCCTGTTGGCGACTTCGTCATCAATCTTCGTGCTGCGTGAGAGGGTGCTGCCCAGGTACGGGAAGTTCTCCACCACTTGCAGTTGAGTCCCATTCACGTTGATTTGCGGCGGCGCGTTGGGGGCTGTGACTGAGTGGGGTGGCGGTTGATGCATCACCACCGTCTTCTGCGTGTTGATAACCAGCCCAAAGTTCTCGCAGGCGGCGGAGAATAGGTCCATGCTCCGTTGCATCTCCTCTTCCGAGGTGGTGTTCAGGGCGCAGTCGTCGGCGAAGAGGAGTTCGTGCACGGTGGCCGTGGATACACGCGATTGGAAGTGCATTCGCCGTTGATTCAAGAGATGACCGTCCGTTCTATAGGCGATGCGGATTCCAGGGCGTTCGTCGCGGTAGGCGTCCATCAACATGGCAGAGAACATAAGACTGAAGAGGGTTGGTGCCAGCACACAGCCCTGCTTCACTCCGTCGGTCACTGCGAATGCCTCTGAGACAGCGCCGTTGTCCGTGACTCGCGCCATCATACCGTCGTGCAGCTGACGCACCATCTGAGTGAATCGCTCCGGACAGCCGAATTTCTGCATGATCTTCCACAGTCCTTCACGATTCACCGTGTCGAAGGCCTTCGTCAGGTCCACGAAGGTAGAGTACAGGTGGATCCGCATCTCCTGGCACTTCTCCTGAAGTTGGAGGGCTGCGAAGATCATATCCGTGGTCCCACGATGACGACGGAAGCCGCATTGGCTTTCCGGCAGAAGGCCCTGTTCCAGATGGTTGTTGAGGCGGTTGAGCAGGATGCGAGCGAAGATCTTCCCGCCGATGTTCAGTAGGGAGATGCCGTGGTGGTTGTCGCAGACTTGGCGATTCCCTTTGCGCTTGTATAGGTGCACGATAGTTGCGTCCTTGAAATCTTGCGGGACTTCACCTTGACGCCACATCTCCTGGAAGAGCGCAGTCAGGTGATCCATCAGTAGGGGACCTCCGTGCTTGTAGACCTCAGCAGGGATTGCGTCCGATCCGGGTGCTTTCCCGCTGGAGAGCTGCTGCACGGCCCTGATCTTTTCCTGGAGAGATGGCGGGAGGTCGAGGTCCGCGTTGGTCTCCACTTGAGGCAAGCGGGCGATGGCGGCGTCGGAGATGACGGAAGGGCGGTTAAGGACGCCTCGGAAGTGCTCGGCCCATAACTGCAGGATTTGCGTCTTTTCAGTCAAAAGAGTACTGCCGTCGGCGCTGAGAAGAGGAGCAGTGCCCTTCGTCGGCGGACCGTAGACAGCTTTGATCGAAGAGAAGAAGTTCTTCCATTCGTTACGGTCCGCGTAGCCTTGGATCTCCTCATCTTTGCGAGCAGTCCAGGCGTCCTGCATCTCGCGCAGTCGTTGCTGGATCTGGCGGCGACTGCGGTAGAAGGCAGCTTTGGTGGCATCAGTGGGGTGATCTACGTAGGCTTTGTGTAGGCGGTTCTTCTCAGCAAGCAGATTTCTGATGGCGGCGTCGTTGTCGTCGAACCAGTCCTGGTGTTGGTGGGGAGCGCGACCGAGGACGGCGAGCGCCGTCGACTGGACCGTGTCTCGCAGTTGACACCAGCGGTTCTCCACGGAGGCGTTCTCGGCAGCGGCGGCGGCGACGTTGGCGGCGGCAGCGATAGGAAGGTTGTCTAGCCGTTGAGCTAGCTCATTGCTGAAATGGAGACGGTGAGCAGGCAAAGACAACAAAGCAAAATTCAGCTTACCTGGGGGTCGATTACCTTGTGGTCTCCTGCGAGGCTGTAGGCGAATACGCATCTTCGAGATGACGAGGCGATGGTCGGTCCACCCGTCAGCACCCGCGATCGCTTTCGTCACCAGCACGTCCCGCTGATCTCGCCTCCGGACGAGGACATAGTCCAGTAGGTGCCACTGACGCGACCGAGGATGCTTCCAGGTGGCCTTCTCTCGCTCCGGCAGGCAGAAGAAGGTATTCGTCAGGATGAGGCGGTGTTCTGCGCAGGTGCGGAGGAGAAGCAGGCCGTTGTCGTTGGAGCCGCGGAGGCCGTGGGGACCCAGCACTCCCCTCCAGGCAGTATGGTCTGTGCCGACGCGGGCGTTGAAGTCACCAAGGACAATCAACTTGTCCGCCTTCGACACAGTCGCCAGGTGGGCGTGCAGGTCCTCGTAGAATTTGTCTTTGACGGCGTCGGGGCTGGTCATCGGCGGAGCGTAGGCGCTGATGATGGTGGCGAACTTGCCTCCTCGCCGGAGGGGCAGACGGAGGCTCATTAGGCGGTCGTTGATTCCCTGCGGCAAACAGGGCAGTCGTCCCACGATGTCGGTCCGGATGGCGAAGGCGACACCCGCGTCTCGTCTCTCTGCCTTGGGTCGACCACTCCAGAAGAAGGTGTAGCCGGCACCCACCTCCTCCAGTTGGCCTTGTTCGGAGAATCGGGTCTCGCTGAGTGCGGCGATGTCCACCTTGTAGCACGCCAGTTCTCGTGCCACTAGCGCCGTCCTCCGTTCCGGTCGGTTGCTCCTCGGATTGTCTAAAAGGGAACGAACATTCCAGGCTGCCAGATTGAGCGGGCTCACCCTGCCAGTCTGGCGACTGCGGCGGCGAAAAGTAGGAGTAGGAGAAGAAGAAGAAGAAGAAGAAGAAGAAGAATAGGCTGGAAGAGGAAGAGAGTGATTGTTGTTGTTGTTGTTTCGGTTTTGGCTGTTTCGACCGTGTGTTTTTTGTCTGCGGCCACGGCCAGCCTACAGACAGCGTGGTTCCCAGCGATCTTTAGGGCACCTTTTCTAGCCCCTTCCCCCTCGCGGGGGCAGGCAACACATCCCTGAACAGGGCTGCCCGGTTATCCCAGACGGCTGCCGGACTTCACTATGGGCCACGACTTTTTGTTAGTGAGAGGACGACCCGAATTAGCCTGGGACCTTGGTGGTGAGGTGATGATGTGATGGAGTGAAGTAGGAGAGAGCATACACACTACCTAACGCTATGGGACTTAGAACTAGAGTGGACAAGCGGACACAGTCACCAGTTAGAAGCAAAGTGAGGGCACCACACAAAGTCAGGCACCGTAACACCTAGCTATTAGTAGAGAGTGGCATAGACTGACGGACAGACAATCGCAGCAGGCATCGAGGGAGTCGTTTAGCTATTAACAGACAGACTAGCATATAAAGGGCAGGCAGCAAGCACAGCGTACGACGCGGAACTTCAACAAACAAAAGGAAGAAACAAAGCAAGCGCACTTACCTGAAGGGAAACTTACCTGGTGGCCGCCTACGATGGTCCAGGCAGAGCCTCGTCTCGACGATGTCGACGCGAAGATCCACCCGGCCAGCGCAGACCACAGTACCGCGCGTGCAGGTGCACGCACGGATACCCTCACCTGGTTTAGCCCGCCGGTCGAGACGGTTGCCCGGGGTGTGGCCGCTGAGCAGAGCCCAGCTACGTGGAGCCACAGGTGAGAGTTAGGTGCCAGCAAATGGACGCTAGGCGTAGTCTCACCTGCAAGCAAGTGAGCGACCACTACGACCATCACGTGAACACACCGCTGGACACCCCTACACCCCACACACACACACACACACACACACACCCACACAAGAGTTTGATTGCTGCGTTTACGAGGGAATCGTTCTTTACCTGAATTCACAGCGGAAAGAGAACATGTAGCATGAGGTGTTGACGGAACCTCCCTAGGCTGGTTTCAAGCGCGCTCTTAGCTACTATACCTCCTTAGTAGTGTCTTTTGGGTTCTCATGGCGTGAGAGGTAGATCTTTGATTGCTCTACACTTGCGGTTTTCCAACGTCTCGTTTACCTTTTCCACCTAGGTATGTCTTGAGTATATCCAAGAAGAGATATTAGGTATAGTTTGGGCTGAAAATATCGGTGGCCTAGTCGGATGTCTGCATACTGCTAACTACTTTCACTGATCACACACAGGACTTTTCTTGGCATGCGTGCATGGACAAATAGTCTCTCTACATGCGTCATATATGAACATGGTTTTTTGTTAAGCTCGCTTATATTATTCGTGTCCACAAACTTTTGCTCACGGCTTTATATGAGGAAGTCAATAACCATCCAAGTTTTTTATTTAACCTATTAGGACGCTCCGAAACGTACTAATAATTAATACGCAACTACTTTTTCTTAAGGTTGTTTTTGAATTGCTATTTGCTTTGAAAGCGACTAGTAATGCGCTGCCTAAGGGGCTTTGCCCAACGGGAATTCCAACCAGTCAGAACACGATCACGCCATGTGACGTGGCCATTCGGCAGCGTGGACGGACGGTGCGATTGCTATGTCGACATTGCGAACCTCGGCTGCGGTCACGTTGTCCCCAAGGCGCATTAAAACGCAGGCGTCTACACATATCGCTTGTCTCTGTCCGCAGTACGATTGTCTGCCTTGTCTACCGTTTGTTTTGCTTGTGACGGTCCGACTCACCGCCCTTGTTGCATATCAATGGGCACTTCGAGTTTGAGCCTGCCCCGGTATACGCCTCTGAATTGCCGCGGCCTATGAAAATCGTAGAGGGGACCGTATTTGCACGAAACAGAATCCTGAACAGCAAAGAGGAAGCTATCGTGTATCCGGTGTCCAGAAGACAGTTTATAACCGAGTTCCTCTTCACCGTGTTTTCCAATGCCGAGAACCGCTTTGGCAGGTGTCCGGCAAACATAGCTCTTCAGAAGTGAACACATACTGCCGAGAATTTCAGTTAGAGAAAATCACGTGAACATTGATCACATGGTGGACCCAACTTTATTTTTGAGATCCCCTAGCGCGCAAGCATGACCTATCTCCCCCCGTCTTCGGAGTCTGCAACAATTCAAATAAAAAGCAGGACAGCGCGAGCAATCAAATATTTTCACATTTTGCGTGTTCTAGAAGGCTTTCTGTCTCTGTACTTCCAAAAATCAGTAATTGGCTAATGACACCCTTTGAACGGCCGCGTCCTACTAGCTGTAGTTTCCTGACATCGCCTGGGTGTGGTCCCTACGTCTG